CAGAGCAGCAGAGAAACGCAGACACTACGTTGAATTATTAGCTCCACTTGTTCTGGTGGGACAAACAAATCTATTTTTTAAATCGGGTTGGGTTTGTGGATTTATGAGGACAGTCAGAACAGTTTAATATGGGAAAGATCATTACAGTTATCTCACGTGTCCTCATCCCTGGTTGTGTCTCCACCTCCCCCCAAAATGGCAAGGCCATTGCATATAGAAAGGAAGGATTAGGGGCACTAGCCTAGACTTTGGAGACCTGTGGTCAAATCCCTGCCCTGCCACAGATTTCTTTTGTGACCTTGGGCAAATCACGTGATCTCTCTGGGCCTCAGTTCCCCATCTGTGCCATGGGGATAACAGCAGAACCCTGCCCTCGAAAGGGTATTGTGAGGATAAATACATTAAAGATTGTGAGATACTCAGGTAATGACTAAGACATTTCTACAATAATGGGGGCCAGATAGGTAGCTGAGATAAAATTAATCTGTGGAACTGGATGCCTCAGGATATTATTGAAACAGATAACTGAGCAATGTTCAAAACTATATAATTAGCTATCTATCTGAATAAGACTACATCAGTGCTTGTGGACATGATCCAGCTACTACTGGAGTCAATAGGAGTGTTCCTAGTGACTTCACTGGGAGTTGAATGGGGCTTTATGTTAACAATAACAAAACTTACGAGTTTTCAAGCTTCCTGTTTGATTATATGAGTTAATCACCAATGGAGTGCAATTTGCTACCATGGTATATCGAACTGCGTTATGGCAGCTTCACGCCTTGTTCTGATCATTTCATTATTAGCTGTTGGAGACAGGATACTGGAATAGATGGAGCACCGGGGGGGCGGCGGTCTTTTCCAATGTGGCAGCCCCTATGAGCTTAGTGACAGGATGCCTTGACATATACCTAAATGTGCTGGAAATCACCACTGCGTGATTCATTTGTAGGGATCTAGAAGAAATGCGCTCTGATGATGTAAAAACCTGCAACCTCAAGTGCATTATGGCAGCTCCATGCCTCCTGCAGACAAATCCAACTTGGGCTACTGTCAGAGACAGGATCCCAGCCCCTCCAGTAACCCCTATGTTAGAAATGACAGCACTTTCTCTTTATAAGATATGAAGTCACCACTCCTTGGTTTACCCCAGGATTAGTAGGTGGAGACACCGTCTGTTTCAAGTGAGCAAACCAGGCCTGATTCCCTCCTTGCAGCTCGTGTTGCCATTTACATCTGTGCAAAATGGGTTTGAAAAGGTACCCTTGTAATCTGGCAGCGTTTTTACACGCACTTTGCACGAGTGTAAATGGTGCGCCACAAAGGTGCATGGCAGAAGAAAATCTGGCCCAACACCGCACTTGTGAGTGCTAGTGAAACTCACCCTATGTGAGTTAGGGAGACCAGACACTCCTCCGCCAGCTCAGGATTTGCGAATGAACTGTTGCTTTGGGGGGATTTCAGTCTGATTATTTTGGGATCCAAGTGGGTTGTAGGATTACTGGCTCACATTCGCAGTTACCCCTGGACGTTGCAAAGAAGGGGGCCTTTCAGTGAGACAGTTATGATTCCCAGGGAGGGCCGGCACTGTTCTGAGCCCTGGAAGAGGTAAGAACAGCCTGGGAGCTGTTCTAACTTACACCAGCTGGCTATGGTCTCTCAGGGACTATATGCCAGCCGAGCATAGCTTGAGAAGTGTGTACTCCAGCCATATCTTCTCCCCATGCCAGTGCAGAGTGGGACTTGGCGAGGTGGTGAAGGAGCTGGTGACAATGGCTCTGTGTCAGCTGAGAACTCCCCACGCCTGGGGACTTCTCAGTATGTGAAATCTGGCTGCTCGGGTACTAGTGTTTGTCAGATCTAGCACTGCTCAGGTGGTGCAAAAGAGCTGGAATAAATGTGAATGCTAGAAAGAGAGAGAGAGAGAGACAGAGAGGAGCCTGAATTGGATTTCGGTGCCTTTCTGGAATGAACTCTTCATACAGTCCTGCCCAAGGTGTGATACTCTGCAACCCGTCCCATCCCTGGCAATACCCTGATCCTGGGGCATTACATCTGGCCAGATGTCTCTCCCCCCATATCTATCTATCTATCTATCTATCTATCTATCTATCATCACAACCATCACCATAATATCGAGGCTCTGGGCCCTTCTGAGTAACTGATGAATATTCTGAATGCAAGTGGATTTGCCTGTGAACGTTATGATTCCCCTGAAGTTGCTTCTGTCCATTTTACCTGCAAGGGCTCAATCAATCCAAAGCCTCCCCTGTTATTGTCACCTGTGCACTGTGCATTAGCACATCCGTTCTGAGAACTGGGACTCCAGCCTCTAAAGAGTTAATCTTCTCTTCGTAGGAAAACAGCTCGCTCATCTATATAGTCTTTAAGAAAGGAAGGTGACATCCTTCGTTCAGAGAGGTAACAGGCAGGTACAAAAGTAAACTCTTCTCCAGGGGTGGGATGTATGTAAAAGGCTATCTGTTTGGGGGGTCGCACTAGCCACAATTGGGTAGAACACCCAGCTGTTCAAGCCAGTGCAGACAGCGGAAAATCTGCAGGAGTCTGGGGACAGTAGCCCTGGAGAGTTGAGGGTAAAAGAGAATGCAGCCCACTCAGTTACCTGGACCTCCAGGACCACACTGGACTGACTTCAAGGGGGGCTATGCCGAGTTACGCCAGCGATGGGTCTGGCCTCTAGATTGTTTTGAGATTTAGCATTTAGTGCAGCCCCCGTGGCTGGTTGGGAACCAGGCACAAGAATCCAGGCATTCCCACTCACCCCTGTAAATCAGTGGGAGTGCAAGCCCAGCAAAGGCTTGGCTGGAAATGAGCTCCATATTATTATTATTATTATTACTATTATTTGATTTGATTGGCAGGAGCAGCAGGAGTCCATTGTTCCAGGGGAATGTACCGATGCATAACGTACCCCCTAGCCCAGAGAGCTTACACTCTGAGTCCATAACTTTAAAAGAAGAAACTCCATTTGTGGAGTAATGAGTGGGGACTTCATGTTCACATAAGGATTCAGTTTACTCACTGCTGGCTCGTGGCATATGCTCATGCCCATATCTCCAGCCATCTCTGGGAGAGCACAGCTACTCTGCAATTCAGATTACATTGAAAAAGGCCAGAAACCTTGCCACAGGGAGCAAAGATCCATGGGAGAAAAACCCGGCCTGGGACCAAGGCTGTCTGGAGCTATCAGATGGTGTCACTCCCGACCTACCAGTACTCAGTGGGAACAGTTCAGCAGACGGCTGCTCCTCGCACGGACCGGGAGGGGAACAGACCCGGGTCCTTGACACGTCAGGGCTTCGGTAACATGCACCAGTTTTAAACCTAAACAAGCCAAGAGACCGTTCCCCAAGAGACTCGCGCATGTGCACAAGGGAGCAGCCTGGAGGCAAGACACCGCCTCCCTCCAGGTACCCCCTGGACAATGGCTGGGCCCAGTCGCAGTCTGTGTGCTCTCCCAAGTGCTCAGGCAGGCAGTGGTGCGTGCGTGCGCCCCTCAGGGGTCCGAGAGGAGCTGACGACCCACCCACTGGCCGGTGGAGCTGGCCTGGTGAGGAGCGGAGGGCAACGTGGCACCACTGCCCAATGCAGCCTAGTGGCTGGAAGCCACAAGTGAGCCGGGCATTAAATCAATACAACTAAACACACCTTGCAGGGAGAACGTCGCTTGTGACAAACCAGACCGAGTGCACACAGCTCCCTGGCGGGGGCCGGGAGAAAGGCTCAGATGCTGTGTTATTTCACTCTGGGGAGGGAGCACTGTCATGCACCCCTGTAGCCTCTTCCCCAGCCACGGTCTGTCTCTGCAGCGGGGAGGAGGCAATGAAGACGCACTGGATGCTTCCATCGAGCTGCCTTGGTGAGAGTAGGCTTCCTGTCAGGCAGTTCGCACCAAGCCCCCTTCACCCTGCTTCTGGCACCAACACCCCAGGAAGGAGACGGCGAGGTGGGGGCCCCCTGCCCTTGTGTGTTTCCCTCTGGGTTCGCATGCTGATGTGGTCACAAGAGGAAGTTAGCTTAGCAGCCTTGTCCTAAATTGAAATAGTCCCAGCCCCTGCAGGGACGGCTCAGCCAGCACTGGGATTATGAACGGGCTGCAGGTGTCTAGTGATCCCTGTGGGGCTTTGCTGGAGCATCTGCACTGAAGCCTTGCACAAGCCAAGGGAGCCGGGACGGCTCTGGGCCTTGGTGCTGGGACACCGCGCCCGTCGCGCCTCGGTCAGACGTTTCAACCCAGCGCTGGCGTGGCAGCCGTGGAAAGTTGTTGCCGTTTGATGGTCTATGTGCAATGAGTTGTTGTTTCCCTCCAGCATGGGTGGACAGGTGTCTCCCTCCTGACCCTCCGTCACGACCCAACATCCTGTCTGGGCGCCAGCCGAGAGGTCAGGGACTACAAGCCAACTACCATCTTATCCGTGGTCCTTGCAGGTCACAGGGAGGTGCAATGGCAGGGCCCATTGGGGGAAGCTTTCATGGCTGGCTGTGCTGTGCTGGGGAGAATTATCGGGGTAGAGGGCTGCCAGGTTGGCTCCTTAACAAACCCAGCCCTCTACTGGCTCATGTGCCTGGATACTTAACGAGAAAGCAATGGTCAGAGATGGATGGGGGCGGGGGGGAATGATCCCAAAGCGGGGTGAGAAGCAAGAGTCGTGATAAAGGGTAGGTCTATCAAAGTTTAGAAACAAACCAGTTCCTATGTACAAGGAGTTCAAAGTCAGAAGGTGACCTTGTGGCTAAATAACAGTGCAGGGCTAGCTAGGAGCCAGGACTCCTGGGCTCTATTCACGTCTCTGTCAGGGACTTTCCTGGGTGGCTTGGAGCAAGTCACTCAGGCCAAAACGTCCAAGTGTCCACTAATCCTGGGTGCCTTTTTGGGGAGGGGGCGCATAGGGCTGGGTTTTCAGAGCTGCTGAGCACCTTTTCCAGGCATCGAAGAAGTGCAAAGGATAATGTCGGGATTAACTTGTCTTCCCCTGCAGGAGATGCGACGTACCTCGACATCTTCCGGGAGTTCTCCCACATGGCTTCGAACGACCCTGAGAAACTCAACCGGCGGAGCTTCCCCTTCAGCCACTCCTGCAGATAGCCCTTCCCCTCCTCGTCCGAGGCCTTCGGCTGGAGAGTCAGCTGTGAGCTACCAGAGCCCTGGGAGAGCGGGAAGGGGGAGCGGTTTGCCAAGGCGGAATGGGTCTGCTGGGCTCATCTACTGGAGGAAGACCCAGCCATCTGGTCCCTGTCCAAACACACACTTATGGAGCACGCAGTGTTTATTCCAGTGCCTGCTTTTGTATCCACATCTCAGACCAATGACCCGTGGTGACATGACTAACCAGCCAGCGTATCCAAACAGGGCTGAACCAACTATGCAAAGAAATCCCTGCTTCTTTGCAGTTCACTCCCTCAGCCCCTGGGCCTCCCTCGGGCCAAACGCCTGCTCAAGTCAATAAAGATTTGACCTTCGGTTTGTTAATGACTAAAAGGTAGGGGGCCACACATCCCATCACTAAAAATAAGGGGTAGCAAAGGGGGAACCAAGCACCTTTTCTGCAGAATATGTTAATCCCTGCAAAGCTGACTTTTGCTGCACCACTGGGATATCAAAGCTGACACAGCAGGAGCATGGGACAGGAACGGAGAGACATTTTCACACAGACACCAGCAAAATGGTTTGCCCAGGGCAGCAGCAGCATCCTTTACGTCAGTTGGGGCAAACGCCGGAAGAAGAGAAGTGACTTTCTGCGTTAGGGAGGGACGCATTCCAGGGATGATATTCCTGCTGAGCTGTGGTTAGTATTTGAATAGGTTCATTCTCAGATTTTATCCTTTTTGGTTTAGAAACCCAAAGGATGCAGAATAACTCATCAAGGAGAAAAGTCAAAACATCCCAAAGTTGACACAGGCTGGCAACCACCTCAGAAACATGGAATATCGGCTGCGAGGCGGCAGCAGACCCCAGCCGCAAAGAGTTTAAAGCCACGACAAATGACTTTCTGTTGAGGTTGGGCCTGTTTTGGGGACCTAGAGTATCTCACCTGTGTTGCTTGTGTATTTGGTTTCTGCACAGAGGGATTTTGGGGCTTACCCTTGGAGAATAGGGTGTGAAGATCCTCTGAGCTCCTTCCTGCCAGATGCAGGAGTGAATATAGCTTCTGAGCCCTTCCCCCTTGGGAACAGTTCGTGTTAGACTCTATGAAAACCATAAGGGTTTGACTTAAATTGCTACCTGTTTCTGTCCAGCAACCCAAGTTATCAGAGAGGTGGTAACAAGTACAACCAGCAAAGAAGTTGTAGCCATGTGTGGCTAAGGGGTTCATTTGTCACGGTACCAAACCCAAATGAGAAGATAAACATTTGTGAATGCCACAGGCAGTATGTTGTTGGGGCATATTCTGCCTTCCGTTATAGAGGGGTAACCCAGGGCACAGGAGAAACCAAAGAGGGGTTCATGATGGAATATTCAGCTGTGCATCTGGTTTCAAACACCTGAATATTCAGGGATGTGTGCGGTGTCTGGATCCAGGTTGTCAGTACTGGCCTGTCTGGAGTAAAAACTTCAGCATGCAGGGGCCTCACTGGAAAAAACCACAACTTTTCCAACTGAGCTTGAACGTTCCTGGGCCAGCACACTGCCAAAGACGCTGATGTCTTATGCTGCTGAACCAGATTTGCAAATGAAGTGAGTTTAGTCAGCTCCACTTGGCTAAGAATGGCACAGCACCAACGGCCCGTTGCACTACTTTGCATGGCTGGTTTTCCATCGCCCCCACACACTCTAATTCACTGTAGGCTGACCACCACCCACATGCAGCTTCCCATGCCTTTTAGTGGCTGTGTGGCTCAATGGCTAGAGACCCAGACTCGGATTTAACAGACCTGGATTCTGTTCCTGGCCTGCTGCGTGGCCTATGGCAAATCACTTCACTTCTGTGTGTGCCTCGTGTGTTAAGTGCCTTGAGACTCTTGGGTGAAAAGCCCTATGTACTATTATCATAATTATACTATGGGAGCTGTGCATGCAGATCTGAAAACAGAACCTGGCCCTCGCCCCCTTGAAGAGTTTTGTAGCTCATGCCTACTGTGTGTCGCAACGCTAGGAGAGCAGAACTCTTCCTGTACGGCATGGCTTTCATTACTATTTTTTTACCTGTAATATTATTTCATCGCTATAAAAAGGGTTATGTGTGGACTATACAGGTATAGGCACCATGACAAATTAAAGTGGATTGTCAGAATGATGTATATAAACCGTGTTTACATGCTGAAATGTAATATATCATAAAGCAGAAGAAATGTATTTTTTAAATAAGGGGGAATGGAAAAGTCTCACATACAAGTGATACCTATTAATTGGAAGTAAAATATGAGAATTTTTGTTTCGAAAACCAGGCGTGTTTCCTCATTCTTTCCAGTCTAGGCTTCTGTAAACAAATGGAGCATTTTAGTTGGAGAGGGTTTTTATAACGTGAGATTTATTAGGCACTCGTTTATGGCTGGAAGTCGGGGGGGGGGGCGGGAGGGGGAACAAATGAATTTTCCTCCAAGGAGATGCAGGGCTCCCAACTTTTTTGGGTAGCTGGCATGTTTGATTCAGATTAAGGCAAAGCCTAGCCAGGTCATTGAAGTCAATGGGAGTTTTGCCATTGACTTCAGTGGAGCCAGGCTTTCACCTCAAGATTGTTTCCGTTCCAGAGTCTCCTTGGTTAGTGGTGGAAATAATTGTACATGCTCAATCATGAAATAAAAAAGGACAGATTCCATGGCGAGGCGAAGAGGAGATAGAGTACCAGCCTAAAGTACCAGAACTGGAGACTGGGAACCACTAGACTCCATGAGAGAACCATGAGCTCCTAGGTCCCTATCCACAGCTATGACCCTGAATGTTTTCTTCTTTTGTCTTTGCAACTGTGATCCCCCGTTGCAGCTGGGAAAGATGAGTGTACATCAAAAGATTAGATAGATAGATAGATAGATTAGATAGTCTACTGGGAACTGAGACTATACGTTTTCTGGGGACTGTCCGTTTGCTCTGCGTTTGTACAGTGTCTAGCACAATGTGGTCCTGGTCCACGGTTGAGACTACTCAGTGCTGTTGCAATAACATCAACGACTGGACAAAGGCCAGAAGCTCATTTAATGTAGGTTACCAAACAGGCAACAAATGGGTAACAACTCTATGTCCCTCCTGACCTGGGCTATTGCTGAACTATTCAGTACCATTTTCTCTTATCTGGTGTAATGACAGAAACAAGGGTGAGAGAGACAAGGTGGGTGAGGCAATATCTGTGAGCGGACCAACTTCTGTTGGCAGAAGGGACACTTTTTTAAGTTTGGCAGAGCTTTTCCTCAGGTCTGGAGAAAGTCACCAGAGTGTCCAGCCTAAATACGAGATGAAAGAGATTGTTAATCATAAGGGGTCATTTTCATTTTAAGTGGTCTCCTACTCATAGATAGATTCATAGATACATAGATACTAAGGTCAGAAGGGACCATTATGATCATCTAGTCCGAACTCCTGCACAATGCAGGCCACAGAATCTCACCCACCCACTCCTGCGATAAACCTCTCACCTATGTCTGAGCTATTGAAGTCCTCAAATCGTGGTTTAAAGACTTCAAGGAGCAGAGAATCCTCCAGCAAGTGACCCGTGCCCCATGCTACAGAAGAAGGCGAAAAACCTCCAGGGCCTCTTCCAATCTGCCCTGGAGGAAAATTCCTTCCCGACCCCAAATATGGCGATCAGCTAAACCCTGAGCATATGGGCAAGATTCACCAGCCAGATACCCAGGAAAGAATTTTCTGTAGTAACTCAGATCTCACCCCATCTAACATCCCATCACAGGCCATTGGGCCTATTTACCATGAATATTTAAAGATCAATTAATTACCAAAATCATGTTATCCCATCATACCATCTCCTCCATAAACTTATCGAGTTTAATCTTAAAGCCAGATGGGTCTGTTGCCCCCACTGCTTCCCTTGGAAGGCTATTCCAAAACTTCACTCCTCTGACAGTTAGAAACCTTCATCTAATTTCAAGTCTAAACTTCCCAATGACCAGTTTATATCCATTTGTTCTTGTGTCCACATTGGTACTGAGCTTAAATAATTCCTTTCCCTCTCTGGTATTTATCCCTCTGATATATTTATAGAGAGCAATCATATCTCCCCTCAACCTTCTTTTAGTTAGGCTAAACAAGCCAAGCTCCTTGAGTCTCCTTTCATAAGGCAGGTTTTCCATTCCTCGGATCATCCTAGTAGCCCTTCTCTGTACCTGTTCCAGTTTGAATTCATCCTTCATAAACATGGGAGACCAGAACTGCACACAGTGAGGTCTCACCAATGCCTTGTGTAATGGCACTAAAACCTCCTTATCTCTACTGGAAATACCTCGCCTGATGCATCCCAAGACCACATTAGCTTTTTTCACGGCCATATCACATTGGCGGCTCATAGTCATCCTATGATCAACCAATACTCCAAGGTCCTTCTCCTCCTCCGTTACCTCTAATTGATGCGTTCCCAGCTTATAACTAAAATTCTTGTTATTAATCCCTAAATGCATAACCTTACACTTCTCACTATTAAATTTCATCCATTAAATTTTACTCCATGTGTGAGCCCCTTCTGTTTAGCAATCTGCCCCGCCTCATATTTAGCTTGGACTTCCTGGTTCCTCCAGACCTCAGCTCGAAAGCTTATCCCTTCCTCCAAACCAAGTTGGTCCAATCAAGACATTACCTCACCTATCTTGTCTCTCTCATATACGGAGACCAACACAGTTACAACAACACTGCAAGAAACAAATGTGGCATTTAAGCAGCACCAAAGCAACCAAGAGACACTTGCAATGTAGCAGTTTATTAGATACACATGCAGAAACATAAACAATTCCCCCATAATAACAGCCTGCTCCATCCTACTCCATATATACGTCCTACTCTTTTCTGACCTTAAATCTCAGTCAGTGTCTCAAAAGTGGAGGGAGGCCTGAGGTGTGAAGTTTGGGGCTATCTAGATCCTGGCTATTGGACCTCTCCATTTCTCCAGGACTATTTCTAATGGGTCTTTCCAACACTCCGTCTGTTGCTTTAGCAGAATTGCATAAAGGCACAAATTCCTTCTAAAGAAAAGGCCATGTAGGCTTTTAACTCCTGCATCAAATGGATATCCCTCTCTCTCCCCCATGACAGGTCACACTACCAGTGACTTTGGTTTTGAGGGGATAGTGGGACAATGATTATACATAGGCTGAGGATAGGGTTGCTTCCACCTGCCTCTTATTCCATTTTGTCTCACTGGTGACCACAGTCTGGAAGGTAAATAAATGACAATGGAAAATGAGCAACTTGCCATGTATTTATCTGATGCAATCATTATCCTTTGTGGGCTTGAGACCTAAAGAAAAAGCACCCACAAGGACACAAATTCCAAGCTGTAAAGTCCTGACTGGCTGGAGGGTGAATGCAGGTAATCAAGCACTATGGTGCAAGAGTCCCTTAAGCAAATGGGTTCATCTTCTCTAGACAATTACAGTGACCAGCTATAACTAAGATTTGGAAACACGGGAAAACCCCGATAAGGATAGACCGGGTCCTAGTCGCTGCATTCAGATACACATCTGGATTATGAACACTGCTGAAGTTCTGGGTGTTTGGAGCTGAGATATTGATTGGGCCATGTGGTGTACTCCTGATATATACTAGACACGTTTCTGGCTATCATATCTACCGTGCCCATCATCTTGGTGTCAAGCCATCCTCTGTATACTCTCATGCTGCTTGCCTTTTACAGAGCTATATGTCCTTTGCAAGCCATATCACCTCTTGTTTCCATCAGAAAAACAATAATCTCTGCAGCAGAGAGAGGTGGTGGTGAGGTTTAATTCATTTGTTTTTGTAAACCACTTTAAGACTGAGATGGAAGGTGGTGTAGAAATGCAAAGCATAGTCACTAAACACGCAGCGTACCTGCAGGGTCAATGTATGGTCATTTCTGTCTCCTAATCTAAAGTGCAGGTTACAAGGTAATTACAGTAGGGCCTACCCTGTGTGATTACCCATAACCTTCAGCAATAATGAGAGGCAGTACTGGCTAGTGTCCAGCTCAGAAGTCTGAGATCTGATCCCAGCTCTGAGTTGCTGTGGGCGGCTCTAGGCAGGTCAGTTTCCACCTCTGCAAAAGGAGGAGGAGAATCTTTACTACCTTTCTGCCAGGGACATTGTGAAGATGCAGTATGAATGCTTTGATGACGCAATGTGCTGGTTAAGTACTGATTAGGATGGCTGTTATTATTATTGGAACATGTGCTTAGAGGGAATTTCACCAAAGACCACACTTGTGAACAATACAGTATTTGTGGCCTGGGCGCTCCAGTCCTTATGCTGTTATGTCAGCAGTCAGATCCTCCCTCTCCACCCCCCTGACTCATTATTGCGTCTACTCCCGAAGCATGCTGCTAGGGGGATCTGTGCTCTGGGCGGTGGCAGCTTTTCAGATGAGACGTCAGTCGAAGGCTCCTGCCCAACTACGGTTACTATAGCTGGTCACTGTAATTGACAAGAGAAGATGAACCCGGTTTGCTTCAGGGACTCTTGCTCCATAGTGCTTAATCACCTACATTCAGCCTCGAGGCAGTCAGGACTTAAGGCTTGGAAGTTGTGCAATCACATGCTTTTCTTCTGTAGGTCTTTAGCCCACATGGGCCATTATGGACGTGAAGGAGCCTCACTTAGGAATCCAGTGATTAAAGGAATGAACTTTCCTATTACAATGGGAGACATGACAGACGACTCCTGAAGGGGAAAGAGGCCCCCCCCCCCCCCCCGTGCTCCAGCGGTGCTCTGGATTCCAAGCCAGTGAGGTTTAAGGAGATCCCTAATGACTGTTTAATGCAATTAATGTAGCCTCTACTGAAGATAAACTTCACAGGGAGCAGCCCTGGGCCACCAGCCCTTTGAAGCAACGTGCGTGGGTTTGACAGCACCTCAGGGAACAAAAGAGGCTGGGCTGCCAAGGCTCTGACAAGAGGGAGTTTCAGTGATTGGGTAACTTATTGGATGTTTCTTGCTATCAATCGCCACAGCTCCAGTGGGAGGAGGAGGCATCTTGGGAATATTCCCAGCTGGCTCCCTCAGGAGTTCTGGGCTAGCCATTGGCACCTGCGAGGCCTAGGATGACCTTGCCTCTGTGACTGAAAGGCAGAAGCAAAGTGCAGCATGCAGACGTGGTGTTAGGTACAGCGGTTCTCAAACTGTGGATTGCAACCCCATTTTAATGGGGTTGTCGGGGCTGGCTTAGACTTACTGGGGCTCAGGGCTGGGCCTCACCACCCTGGGCCAAAGCCTGAGACTCAG